GGAACGAGAAGAATGCGTCCCACGCATTCAAGTTCACTATGGACTTTGTCAAAAGGTCGGCCACCAGACCAGCTCCTGGGGCGTGTCTCGTTTTCCGGCGTTTCAACTGGACGCGCTCCTTGATCACAAATGCTCGGAGCCTCAAATGCCTGGTTCTCCACGGACCGTCTGGGGCTTGGAGGATCTTGAGGCCTGTGAGGGAATCACCAATGAGCATGCGTTCACCTTGATGGCGCAAAGCTCCACTCTCCAGAGCATTGATGATCACCGCCACTGACTCCCCCATTACCACACCATCAACGTATGAAACCAGCTCAGATTCAGCGCTGGAGAGCGTTGCAAAGGCGCTGGACCGGGGCCTGGTTGTAGAGCACAATCAAACCTTGGCGCCCACGACCTCCGGTCGGACCATGAGAAGCGTCCAAAGCACACGCAGTCTTGGTCCACTGCAGGGTTCCTCAGTGATCTGCTCAGCAGCTGGTGGTGAAGCACTGTTAAAAAGCTCATAATCAGCAGTGGCCTGAACATATCCCAATCCCAACATATGTTGACCCCATTCTAAAACACGAGCTGGGCACTTCGTCACCAGGCGACCCATGATCGCAACACCATAGGAAATATCAGGCCTCGTGCGCGAAGCCAACCACAACAATTCCCCGACCAGGCCTTGCGCACGTCGGACCGTTTCGATGTTCACTTCAGGTTCAGGATCTTCGCACAGGCTCGAAGGCATAGGCGTGGACTTGTTCTTGAGGTTGCCATGCCTGTTTTAGAGGTCACCTGTGTAGGAGGATTGGCTAAGAGCAATGCCATTAGACTTGCAGGCAATCTCAAAGCCGCAAAACTTGAGTGGTTTCTAATCAGCCCACTCTATTTGGTTCTGAACAGCGCCAGCGCGATCTGATGCCACTGACCACAGCTTTCGCTAGACTGTCCGGGACAGCGATCAGCATGTCATCAACGTATACAGCCAAAAAGCCGCTAGCCTTCTCATCAACGAGGGCTGAAGTTTCGTCAGCTTGAATCACCTTCCAAAGGTTCGGCTCAGCGATACGGACCAGCTTGTACTTGACGCCACCATCATCAAAGCGCAACTGTGGGAGTTCACCATCTCGAAAACTTGACCAGTTGGCTGGGGCATCGTTCAATCCGTAAACAGCATGGAATATCTCCCAAAGTTCGGTTTCAGGGCATACGCCAGCGTCGACCAGAATGCGAGGAGGACGAGCGACCAGCAAACGTTCTTTTTCATCTGGTCGCGGAGCTAGAAGGAACGCAGTCTTGACGTCCACTGAGCCCACCGTCCAGTTCTGCAGCGATGCAAAGCGCGTCATGCACCTGAGAGCCGTGGCGTCTACGCCACCTGCATACAAAGAGTCCTTGGAGTCGGAGTTCTTGACATTCTCGTCCTCATTGACTCTTGCGAGGTGATTTCCACAAATCACCACCCGTGCCTGAAGTTTTCCATGCGGACTTTTGACAGTTGGGGCGAGCATTACAGGCGCCAGCTCCATCGTTGGAAACCGAAGATCTTCTTTCAACTTTTCCTCAGTAGTTGGTTTTATGGCGTTGGTGACCTTGTTCAATGAATCATATTCGTCTTGTAGTGGAGGGCGCCACAACGCAAGATCCTTTTTGACCTGCTGGAGAGAAACAGTGTACGTTTGCAGCACAGTGGCGGGAAGACTTGGATCAACTCCAGCAGCATTCACAGCAGCGAGCCTTCCCACTTCAACATTGGCGCGCCGGTCAATCAGGGATATTCCATGTACATGCCCTGTTTCACCACCAACAGCGACTTGACGGAGTCCATTGGCCCACAACTGTTTGAGACTCCAATGCGGCTCAACTTCACATCGGTGCCAAGTTGCGACCTCTTCCCATGGACACTGAATCACTTTCTCCTCCCCCCAAGGCTCTTGATCTTCTCCAGGACCAGCATCAAAAATCGGTGCAGCTGGCTCAAAATCCAAGAAATCCTCCCCCCCAGCCTGGCAACGACTCAAGGCTGGACCAGATTTCCGAGCATCAGGATGAAAAAGATCAGCCAAAGGGCGCGGCTCAACAGGTTGTTTTCCATGAAGGCGATGAGGCACCTTATCCTTGTCAATTCACCGCTTGGTCTGCAGCCTCCGAAGGCACCATAGCCGCGCGTAAGTGCTGAATGGCTCCACGAGAATCACGCGCAATCCAGCCTGATGACATGTAGCCAAGGAGCTGCATGGTTTTGTACGGATTGGCCAATTGGCCAGCGTTGTGCCACATCGCTTGGCACGAACAACTGCAGAGGCTGAAGCGTTGGCGGACAGGGAACACCAAGGCGTGTTGCCTGAGCAATGTAGTTCTCCTTCAATACGGCCATTGGCCTTGGAATCATCGCCAGCCGTCATAGTCAAAACCACAGCCCGCTGCTCACACCAACGTTGGATGGGCTTGCTCACAAATGCCCGCTCACGATCGGTGTGAACCCTGTATATGGGACGCCATACACGCGGTATCGTGCACCAAGGCGAGACAAAGCGGTCCGCAATGACCTCCGCAGTGTGACATTCTGCAAGGGGATGGGGGATGACCAAATGCTCCTTGATCAAAGTGGTACAACTCCAGATTTCCCACACCAACCCATGATGTGATTTCCGAGAAGTTCCAAAATGAAGGGCTCAAAGCGGCCTCGTCACCAGTCAGGTAGGACGCTGGGTCCTGTGGAGACTCGAGCAACATGCCAACATCTTGTGGAACTTCTCTGCATTCTTGGGCTTGGGCCCACAAAGCCATCTGCTTGAGGCGTAGGGCGGTGTCACTGTGGGTCGCTTGTGACCACAAATAGGACCATACCTGCGGGTTGCGCAAGCTGTATTGCGAGCCAAGGCAAGTGTCCACGTGCAACTTCCCCCAATGCCTTTCCAGCGTTCAGGATGTGGTCCACTGAACAAGTTCACAATGATGCCCTTGGCCTTCGCGCGAGCTCTTTGTGCTCTGCGGTTCCAGGGTGGGTTCCAACCATATGTTTCAGCGCTTCAGGTGGCACTTCAGGAAATCTCAATGCCCACCATGAAGATTGACTTTCACTCAACGTGGAGGTGCGACAGCGACATGCCTGTTTTTGCTTCTTTTCACGGCTATCAGTGCCATTCAAAACACCTCCACCACCAAAGGCTTTCACACTGGCCTGAGGAGCACTCGCCGAAGTTGCAGTTGTCGAAGGGCCCTTTGCGGTGCCCTGCTGCGAAGATGCCATCAAAGCAAGATCTTCAGCTTCTGCTTGGAGGAATTCAGCATAGTCCTTCACCGCCGGCAGCGATGGTTGACGATCAACTTGCAATTCTTGTCGCGCTGAGGCCAGTCGGTATCCAACCTGGGCGCCACCATGCTTGGAGAGAGCATCAGCAACCTTCGACAAGGTTTGGACCAGAATCATTGGGTCCGGGACTGTGATCTGGAGTTCTTCAACCCGGTTGGGCCACCTTCACCATGCGCGAATGGACGTCAGCACATCATGCACTGAGGCTCCCAAACGAAGATCCGTGAGGCTGCGCAGCAGTAACCACCAGCCATTCACTGTACTTCACGCTGACCTCCTCCTGAATGAGCTCCCAGAACTCCTTTGAAGAGGCACTCAAATCACCCATGAGTGGGGTGATGATTGTCATCCAATCACCAAACAGCAGCGCCGCATTCTCAGCCGACGGAGTTGGTAGAGCAGGTAGTTCAAGGTTCCGCATATTCTCAGGAAATGCGTCACAGAGTCTGGGCCAGGCGTTGGAGGGCCAGACATCGCAGAGAAGTCACCAGCCAGGGCCTTGATGGCCACCAAAAACACCAGTCAATCCAGGAGGAATGTCAGGAGGTCCACCTGGAGGAAGTGCACCAGTTCGTCCTCGCTCAACTGCAGAAGAGTCCTGGGCCACCTTTTTCACATCCAGTGCCGCTGCACTGTTGGCTCAACCATAAGAGGCGCTATCCCCCTTTTCCAGCTTTTGTAGTTCCCGAGCGAAGTTCTGTTCAGCTTCACGTGGGACACGTTCACGAATCTTTTCAACTTCAACAGCTGCGGGACTCAATGCAAGCTGCTGAACTGGTACTGCATGGCTGAGGCTAGGTCCATCAGGAAGAGCTTGCTGACCTCCAGTGCTCCAAAATGGATTTCCTGCCGTGCCTTGAGTTTGACCAATCATAGGGCTCAAGCACCCTCGGCCTCGGGTCCGGTGATCGGTGAGAACTGGTCCTCCTTGGCCTCCAACATCATGCCCTCTTAGGAGTGGATCTAAAAGACCTTGCCCTCGAGAACCGCCGCCTAGAGCGTGTTGGAGTACTTTAAAACTACGACGTACAGCATGCTGAAGCTGCCCAAGCCCCAGCTGTGAAGCTCTTGGATCTTGCAAGATCCCCATCACTTGTTGGCCAGGTCCACCATGATCATCACGAGGTGGATTTCCATGGGCCTCCTGCAGCGGTGCAGGTGGGAGAGCTGCCGGGCGTAGAGGGTCTCGAGCACCAAGACCTGCTTCAAGACGTCGAACACCTGGTCCTTCGATTGGTGCCGATGAAGCCCTCATTGATCTTTGGTGTTCTCGATTTTTTTCATCAAGCTCTCGGTCCGCAGCTCCGATTTCCAGGGGTGGTCGTGCTTCTTGCTGACCTTCAGCTGCCGCCGCTGCATCTCTTGACCGCTGCCGCCTACGGCGATGCGAAACAGCCGCCATGGGAGCCAACAAGCCCTCAACAGGACATGGACTTGCACCCAAGCTATCTTGGGCTCATAACCTATGAAAGGTTGGATGGACGATGCGACCGCGAGAGTCAAGGGGTCCTTTTCTTGAGCCAAATCAGAGCAAATGCCTTAGTCTTCAAGGCAACCTGTGACATCGAAAATGCGAAATGCGAAAAGCTGAAAGGGGTACACTTCTTGTTTTGTGCTGTGTGGATCTTCAACCACAGAATCAATTGTGTATCAAACATATTTGATAGTTGAAATATGAATAGAATACAGTAGTTATTTTTTGTCAATGGAGAACAACGTGATGTTTGGCGGCTTTGAATTTCTCAATCGGTGTCATCTGGTCACCTGGAAATATTCAAGCTAAGGCCGTGTTGTCCCAGGCACAGCCCAATGCAAGCGGCCTGTTCTTCAGCTCACTGCTTCTGGATAGCGGAGGCCACCTGCAGGGATAGCCAAGCCTAGTGTTGCCTCACTCAGAAGCGTGTTCTCCTACTGTGAGACAAATAGCTCTACTTCTATGGCAATGATAATTGAACGTTCCGAAGAATTTACCATTGCTTCCTTCCGCTTCTAACCATCAGCTGCTGCTGCAGCAAGGAGCCGCTGCAGCCTGGGCAGCAGTGGCGAAGCAAACGCCAGGCACCTTTTGCAGTCGCCCCAGAACCTGGCAGGATGTACATGTGTCAACCTTATCCTTGCATGATCTCATGCAGAGATTGTACATCTGCCTCTGTAAGAGCAAGGGCCTCGTACTGAATTACATGTACGTGTCAGTGACGGCTGCATCTTAAGCAAAGCACTTTGCAAAAAAAGTAAAAAACAACTGTGAGTCCGACTCTCGCAGGAGTTCCAGCTATGAACGTGTGCATTCCAAGGCAAACTACCTCAGTTTCGGTGGATTGAGGGCTAAGAGCTCAAAAGCACAAGGTATGTGGCATGTTGCATTCCATGTTGTTATTCAATGTGCTCCACACTTTCATCCTACCTGTCAGAAAGTCTGTTCTTGCGATGCATGCAGTGAATTCCAAGATCTCCAATATGGTACATCCAACAGAATCTAATGGCACACTCACGGAGCAGCTTCATTTGTATATAATCTGTGATTCTCCTTGCTCGGTCGAGCTTCTTGGAATACTGCATTCAAATCATGTCTCTCAACATGGCAGGAAGCATCCATGCCGGAAGAACTGCTGATTCGAGTACTAATGAAGCTGCACTGCAAGCTCTCTGTAGGAAGCAGTATACATTATACATATAATCCTCCCTCCCATTATACTGGTTGGGCCAGTACCCCAGATTTTGTAGCACAAGAATCAAAGAAAGCATTCAGAAAGGAAAAAATGTAAAATCTCTATAGATTTGCAAACATTACCTTCCTCAAACAGTCAACAAAGCATGCATTCACTAGAAGATTGATCACCCCCAAGCCCATGTTGTACATGTTCAGTCTAATTTCAACACATGTTTGGTGTTGTAGAAAAACACTATCACTAGGATAACTGTTTGCAGTACAAACAAGAAAATCTTTGGTCATGATACTACATTGATTGGATCCTGATTTTGTAGAGATGCTGTGCTGTATCGTCATACTTCTTAATATTAAAACTCTATGGGATGTGGATTTTAGACTGGACATAGTATTGAAGCCCAGATTCTGTAGAAGGCTATTGATTTTGTAGATAACAGGGTTCATCTCCTGTCAACCCCTCTACAAACTCACTATCGTTAGACATACAATACATTGCAGAACTCTGGCCCTTTATAAACTTATGAACCACTTTTTCCTTCAGAAAATTCAAGTCTTAGGTGTCGAGAAAATATTCTGTGTATTTTTGGACTGGTTCCTCTCTTAGCTTCAGGATTTAGGACTGCCATAGGTTATGTCCTGATTAGCAAAGATTGCCTCTGAAGGAGCAAAACTATTTATAAAGACTTATGAGCCCTCTTTTTCATTTAGAAAATTCAAGTCTTAGGCTTCTGGAAAATCTGCTGCGTATTTTGGACTGGTTCCTCCCTTAGATTCAGGATTTAGGACTGCTATAGGTTGTGTCCTGGTTAGCAAGATTGCATGAAGAAGCAACAGTAGTATTCTGCTCAATGATGACTTGAGACGTTGACTTTATATAGCAATGTTTTATATGTTATATATTTTTATAATAAGGTTCTATGTATAGAATGTAAAACAAATATGTTGATATTATGACATGTTGAGGGAAAAAGGAAACAAGGGCATTGAACGATACAAAGTCCAAGAAGTTTCAAGAATGTGATTTTGTTATATGAAAAAAATTGTTTTGTAATGTGTTTTATTTCATAATATGTATATATTTTATCATTGTTGTTCTACAAAATCATGCAACCGCTAGAAAAAACCTGATCCACCCTATTCCAAAGACTTCTTCTGTTTAAACATGTGTCTCTACAAAAACATGCTTCTACAACAAAATAATGTGCTCTCTACAAAAATATAAGCATCTCCACGCGTCTACATTGAACATAGATGTACCTCTTTACTCCCATGCAAAGCCTCTACAAATTCATGAGCTTTTACAAAATACACTTCTAAGATATCAATAATGTCTTGTAACTCACCTTTTTGGATCTACTACAAAATCACTGGACATGCTGCAGTCACTCCAAGGATTCTTCCGTAGAAAATCCTTGAGAAATGCCATGCCCATACCACCTATGACCTGTATTAAAAATCACTTTGTACAGACGCTAGGTGGCGTGAAAACGTAGAGGAAACTGAGGAGAGGATTATATGTATATATACATATACACAACACGTTCGGCTGAACAAGCGTTCGTCAGCCGGTGAGTCGAAAAAACAAATGACATCCATTGTCTGCGATGTCTTCAGTTCTTTCAGAAGACACTCTAGGCTTCAGTGTTCACTCAAGACAAGCAGTCATACTGGGATTCTGAGCTAAAGCAAGCATGAACTGCTTAGGGCAAATACATCTTTGCTACAAGCCTTCGAACACTTTCACTCTGCTCACAAAATGGTGCAAGCTCCATGGTCAAATCACCCGTCATAGCGTGCTTTTCACATAACGAGTCCTGGCAGGACAATTATCTAAAGCCACAGGCAATTTTGCAGCTCATGGTATATCAAGATTCCACAATAGGTTGCGTTTGTTCTTCAAACATTGGTTGAAATGAAGCAAGCAAGCTAGATCGTTCCAAGGGTGAGTGAGACCCAGTCCGGCATTGGCACGCATAGCATTTCGGACATTGAGAGTGTGATCAGAAGAACCGCTCACATCACCCTACACTCCCAGTCTTAGATGATGTGTCGGACAAGCAGTGCAAGCGAAAGTGTGGCAGTGTGATTCAAAGCCAGATTCGTGCCTGTGCCATATTCAAAGGCCAACCCACAAGAGTCGCTGACAAAAAACAACCTCAATAACAAAAGGCGGCGTACTACCACCCCTTTCAAGTTGCACACAACTTGTGGAAAGACTCAAAGGAAGACCAAAAATACCATGCGGCCCAAATACCATATTGCACTGCATCCGCCCAGTTGGCTTCAGCCACCTTGCTACATTGTGGCGCTTCAACACAACTTATGTATACATGGTCTGCACACGCTAGCTGCTAGCAGTAGAGACTGTTGTCCCTTTCAGTTCCTGCTCCTTTGTTCTTCGATACAGTAAGCTATGCGTCTTGCTTCGTGTGTTTTCTAGCATATGGACAGCGCACGGACTCCTGTTGCATATTGAGAACAAAACCAGGCTCCCTTCGTGGTTCGTTGATACCCCAATAAAGCATATGAATAGTACAAACACCATCACTTGATCGTTATTTATCTTTGTCCCCTGTCAATACACCTGTGCAATTCTCAAACCCAACAATCGAGCAGGTTGGCTTGTTGGCCTTGCCTTGCAAACGGCGGCGCATTAGCAGCACCTGCTACTTGGCAAGTTTGTCCGGGGCTATGGTCAGAGAGTCGGAGTCGAGTCATCTCGCTTTCTTTGCAACTATCTCAGCTTGAAATGGAAGAAAAAAAAGAGTGTCAGAAGCACATGCAGCTCGGGCTGATAAAACTCATAGTGCACCCATCCTGTCGAGCAGCTCATATACCAGGAGGAAGGAGGATTGGATATTGTTTCCACGACACAAGCATGGAACGTCTCCTCTACCGCCTTGTATGCCCAAACCGCGCCATTCATGCTCCTGAGCTGTCCAGTGTGAACAGCATGCGAGCAAAAATACCTCCACCACAGCAGAGGGTGCCTCCAATAGCCGACGTCCAGAGTTTGTGAGATGTACAACTCTGGCTGCAAGATCCTTCATGAAGCAAAAGCTTCACAAGGTGGTTAACTCCTAAGCCTGATCAAGCATACTGTTTGAAGGCAATATCAATCTGTTGCTCATTGACTCATTGAAGGTCCTTTGTTAGAGTTATATGGCGGTATTCGAACTCCTTATCAAAGTACTTGTCCTTGCAAAAGGGTTGGATCTCGGTGCAAAAGATTCAGCACTGAGTTCTCTTCATATAGAGTCCTCTTTAAGTCTTGAAGTCTTCTTGGATTGCATTTTCTACTGATGCTTATCCTTATGCTTTCTGTCAACCAGCCAACCAGCGCTCCCCATAGGAAACTGCAGCTGGGAACTTCATCATGTTTCCAAGCCTTGGGGCTGGACTCCGAAGAGAAGAAAACAAGGATGAAAACAAGAAAACTTGTTGTCACTTTTTTTGTTGGCCAGCCTCCTTGCTTAACTAAGCAGAGACTACCTAACTAATTAAGCTACTGTCCTAGCTACTGGACGCAGGATAGCTCATGCTATTCATCCCTATTCATTTGGTTCCTATATGTTTAGCGAAACTCAACCGCCAAGGAAAAGAGATGACAAGTTAAGTTAAGAAGATGAACAAGTTAAGGCATGGCGGCATGGCTATAAAAATAAAGCCGAGGCCTTAGCTTGTGTTCATGGCTTTGTCATTCCTTTAAGGAGTTGCTGCCAAGTATATACACAGAAAAAACAAGTGCCCAAGAAAGAACCCAAGGTTAAAGTGTTGAAAATTGCCTTTGAAGAAACTTTGGGAACTCTGGGAACTTCTTGTGTCCTGCTTTGAAGCTGCAAGTTTGATCAAAAGTATGCACACTGCATATGCTCTGCTGTGGTTGAAGCATAGACTGGTGATGGCAAGAGCTTTGCATTTTAGTTGACAAACAAAGCGAGGGAAACTCGTGGGTTTCATCCAAGAGTAAGCTAGTTAGTAGCTAAAGCAGCTCAAGCCTGACACCCCAGGCCCCAAGCGCTGCCACAGCCAAAGCCCTTTCGGACAAGCGCTGCTTGCGAGATCAATGTGAGCAGAACGGCTGCGCACTGCCAGCGTGTTCAAGAGTAGGATGTAGAATGTTTTTTGTTTGTAAATGTCGAAAGTTGTGAAATGGTTCAGTTCATATGACAAATATATATATATATACATATAAAGCCTTCTCCCTGTCCCAACGATGCCCTGAGACAATAGATCTTGTTAAATTGAGTCCGTCAGTTTGTCCACTTGCTGGGTGGAATGAAGGACGGTACAAGCAGCTTGGTCTGTGGCTTTCTCGCCATCTTCCTTGGCAAGCTGGCGAACATGATCTTCAATGGCCTGAGTCCAAGCAATGTCAGTCTGGCAGTGTCAGGCAAAGAAGAGACCAAGCCTGCGAATACTGGCGTCCATCAAAATGCTTTGTCAGGCATAGAGAGATATCGTTTGTCTCCATGCAATACCTCGGCAACACCAAACACCATTTGGATGTCCTCCAAAAAATTTGCCTGTCGAAGCTGCTTCTAAGGAGGCTACGGTAAGCACAATGTACGCTTGCCTCTCACCAATCCAAACAACATGAGTGACAAGAAGAGTTGGCCACTTTGGGACTGACTTGAAGGCCTTCCTCATGCGTGATGTAGTATGGAACATCATCGTCAACAAAGTCAAGGAAGGCTTCAATGCCTTGTGGAGCACTAAAGTTGAACAAGTATCTAGAAAAGTGAATCATAAAAATGGCTGGGATACAGTAAAAAAAGTTGCGCGACGACCTTATTACTTATGACCACTTCTACAATTTACAATGAAACTTGACAAGAAAGAATTGCTGACTTGACAAGAACAACTTTACTATGCCATCCCACCTGACTGAGCAGCAATCTCTGGAGTGCGCTCAGTAACAGAAAATCCGGGAGTAAGCCTCAGTTGCTGCACCGCAAGCGCGCCTCAACATTATCAGGTCCGTTGACAAATGAGGACAAGTCCATGTCTTCGGTCGTGTGCCAAGACTTTGCTGAAGATCATCCAAAGACTGCTTGAAGTAGGCCTCTTCCTGCCGCAACTGGAGAATATGAGAATAATGACTGGTTGCTTCCATGCTTGAATTCCTCACTTCGGGACATCTTGGCTGCGCCGGAAGAATTGTTCAGACCGTGAGCCTTGGCAGCCATGACACAATCGTAAGAGGATTCACTATACACAGTTGATACAGTGAATTCGGAATCGCTCAGTTGATCACTCCACACTCCCAGCCTGACTCCTTGAGTACCTGCAGAGTGCAGAGAAAGAAGATGAAAGAAAATGAAAGATTAAAAATGAAGAAAGTATATAATAGGAGTCGCAAGTGAGAGATCTTTGCCAGGCTTCTTCAGGCATAAAGTTAGTGAATGTGCACTCAACACCATCATTTTGGGTGTTGCCAATCTCATTTTGGGTGCTCCCACTCGGGTGGTTTATATTGAGTGGCAAGAGAGTGCACCTGGGAACCCTCCCTCCCATCTCTTGCATCACCGAGCACAGATTACGGAGCATTCCTGGGAAGCAACTGCTGACTTCCTGCGGTTTTCCTTTTTTCATGTGAAGAGTCTGCAGTTTTTATGTCTTGCACAGGTGAGAGGCGGATGGGTAGAGCAGGGCACAGAACAGTCTCAAGTGCCCAGCCGCTTCTAGTAACAAATGCCTTACTACTAGTAACAAGTGCATCGCTTCTAGTAACAAGTGCATCGCTGCCTAGGCACTTGTTACTAGAAGCGATGCACTTGTTACTAGTAGTAAGGCACTTGTTACTACTAGCAAGGCACTTGTTACTAGAAGCGGCTGGGCACTTGAGACCTCCAAGGATTGACTCTGCCAGGATGTCTGGCTTCTGCTATACTGCTGGAGCATTATAGTGGAGAAGGAAGGCCCTAGGCAAATACACATGTCGCTAGGTTCGGCGTGCCTTCAGAAAACCTTATGATATGGCAATCGAATTTGCTTTCTACTTGATTGTTGCATCTCGCTATCTGTAAACTGCGGTTACCTCGAGCCCTTTTTCAATTGACGATCCGTGTTCCACTGGTGTGTGATTGGGCACCGGGTGTACAAATTGTTGTACAAACTATCTTCAGAAAAGTCAAACACCTTCAGGGAAAAGAGCTCCCTCCAACAGCAAAGGCCGCTTCATCAGAATTCTTGATGGCTGTACCCCTGATGTTGATTGAAGCCCTGCCTTCGCCACGTAATCGAGCTTCGCTGCCTCGCTGTTGATGACAGCTGTTGCCGGAATCTTCAACTCCTGCAGTCCACAAATTATTGATTGATCTGCACACAAATTTATCTGTCCCAAAATCTGAATTGCTGCGACTGCTTGCAATCCTTGAACATGCTTGCCAACCTTTGCAAGCCACGACGGTTGCCTTGCAAACGCTCTGAATCTATCTGCACCGCACGAGTGTGACTTACTATTCTGCCATGCTTTGCCCGCCATAGTCTCGCCATCCCCTGTTTGCAAGCTCCGGAACCTGAGACAATGCCGCGACGAATCCTGATGCCCATGGTCAAAGGGTTGAGAAGATGAGCTGCACTAAGCACTCGGCAGATTGCAAGTGAGGCTGGATTGCAGGTCCCCCACACCCTGGGACGAAAACCTGCCGCAGCAAACAGGCCGTGCAATCCAAATGTTGTGGTTGTTTACTCTCGGGAAGGTAAAATACGGAGGATGAAACCGAACCCTCGGGCGTTGCCACTGGGAAGTATTCAGTAAGTGCATAGTGTAGTGCTCAGTACGTAGCTCCTGATGTCTGAACTGTGAGTAGGGCCAATTACTTGATGATGTTCTTTGTGCAATACAAGAACTCTGCAGTGTGTGCAATGTGCCTCTGTAGTGCGGGTGTCAATTCCTTGTCGATCAATATATAATCATGATAAAGGAGCACAAATGATCCTGGTTCTTCTGTCGAACGAAGAACGACATAGACATAGACATACAGCATCCAACGTTCATTTTTGCCTCGACGTTCACAACTGGAATGACATAGACCTTTTGGCCACCGGCCCATCCTGCTTTGACCTGCCCAGATCTGAGATCAAACACGAGTTCAACAATATTACACTCCTGAGTCCTTTATTGTTTCGTTCTATTTCTTTTCTCTTTTGTCTTCTTATGTTGCGTTTTTGCTGCTTCTTTGGGGGGGCCCGTGGGGGTAGGCCACGGATAGAGGTAAGAGTATCTGAGTATCAGTATAAGCTACTAGTTTGGTATTAAACACACTCCTAGCTACTGGACGCAGGATAGCTCAGGCTTCTTCAAGGAAGCTCCCCGGCCTGAGGGCAGGGGGAGCTTCCTTGAAGAAGCGCTCGCACTATTCATTTGGTTCATAGATGATTAGGGAAACTTGGTGTTTGAAACAATTGAATTACACAGAATTAAATCAAACTATGTTCACATTGCACTGAGAGTTGCATCTCTCTTTGCAAGAACGCTCAGACGATCAAAGGCGTCAGCTTTAAACTCTGTGCCTGGACAAGCTGTACGAAAGAGGGCTTCGCCCTGCATGGCCCAGGGCCCCGGCATGTCAGAGCCTCTTGCTGTGAAGCTTTGAAGTAGTTTACGTGCAGACATGCAAAGCTTGCACACATTCCCCACATCATGGAGGAAGGTCTCGTGCGAGCCTTGCATCCTAGGCCCAGCAGAGGAAGAGTCGGGCCGAATTCGCATCACATCGACTTCACATGCGTATATAGTGCGCCTTTGTACATTGGTTTTGAAAGCCAGCATTTTGCTTGGTTCACGCACTACGCAGGGTGCACATGGGTGCACAATGTTTTTGTTGGCTTTCACGGCAAATCTCAGTCTAAAAATTGCCAAACATCAGAGTCTTCTGGGGCTGGATGACAACCTCATGACTTTCATTTCTTTTGCACACATTTGTGCCTTGAGGCTGGGCCGACTAAGCTTTCAACGACTGCAAAGCAGCGAACGATCTTGCTGAGACAACCTGACGAGTTTCATGGGAAGGGGTTGAAGGTGACCCATGTCAAGGCACTTAAGCCACTCAGGTTGCTACAAAATCTCTCCAGCTGCACACTACTAGCAATGGCCTCCAACCTAATAGCACTGGCCTCCAACCCAATAGCGATGGCCTCCAATCTCAAGGCATTCCACTTAGGTTGCGACAAGATCTCTCCAGCTGCACCGCATCTTGCACATCGAGCTGGACAAACCCTTGGTCCGGGATCTACTTTCACCCCTGCTGCTTGCTAATGCACTCATGGGGATCAAAAGAATTGTGCGTATGTTTATAGCATTGAGGACCGAGCTCTCGTTTGGCCCGTGCAAACACTGCACAAGGAATGGTTGAAGGCCTTTCAAACAGACTTATGCGCCTGTAAATGCCTGTAACTTGGAAGGAAAACTCTTATTATATAGATTCAGCTACTCTCGCATCTTCTCCGCCTGACGCCCCACTGAACACTAGCTGCTCCACCCAGGATGCTGCCAGCAACAGCTCCAGTGGATCCCGCAAGTGCTAGTCCTCTCATAGCCAACTGTCACTTCTTTACTTCTTTGGGTTGTGCTCCATTGGCCAGAAAAGCCTTTTGAAAATCTCTGCCACAAGCATCTGCACTAAGGTGCTACAAATTCCGCTCATGCAAGATTCATTCAGAACCTGCAACTGCGCATACTGCAGGCGTGGAGTCGACAAACCTGCAGGCCCAGATTAACTGTCTCCAAAGGCTGGGAAAGTAGCTCTATTCTTCAAACCAACCGTAAGCGCATAATGAACGTGTCAGGACCCGCCTCAGTGCAAAATCCAATACCTGCACATTGGAGGCACGGTTCATTCAATTATATAACAAGAGCCCTCTTGCCACGGTGCGTAATGTTCCTCTTCCCAATTGCAAACCTCTCTGACAGTCAGTTTCTGCATCAACATGTGAGACTTGTATTCCTCATGCATGTGGGCCTGTATGAAGTGACCCTTCCACCACTCTTGGGCATGTGGCTAGGGTCCATCAAAGACTTGGGTTACACCCACAGCATTCGCACTGAATGCCACTACAAATGAGTAAGAGAGCACCCAGTAAGTTCATGTTTGTATGTTGAAAAGACCTGTACACATGTGTATTAATGTATAGTTAGCCGTCCCTGTCGGACGGACGTTCAAGCCACTCAAGACTATGCCCATACTTTTACAACTCATTGCAGTGTAGTGCAAGACCATCGTAAAATATGTGGTAAAACACATGGTGTAGATATAAACACAATCCCACTAGAAAAGCAATACGCTATGAGCGTCTGCTGAAACGTCTTGCTAACGAAGAGGATATGACTAACAAAAAAGGTTTCACCAAGACATTTTGTAGCGTTGTCGCCTTGCCCTGTGTTTCGTTGTTTTGATTGGCTTTCTCGGAAATGTGTTTCGTTCCTTACTTTATCGATGTTCAGTGGCTTCAGTCAAAATTCAAGAAGTTCCACTGTTTTTTGTCTTCTGGCGTTTTCAAACAAACACCGCACACCCTTTCGAGAAAAAACAAAAACAACTAAAATACATGGAAAACAAAAACAGGACATGACTTTAGGTGAAACAATTTGTCCTGTGTCAATAAATTGTTCTTGCGTGTTCAGTTGTCCCCGGGTTTTGTTCCTTTGGCTTGCGCGAGTGTTTCCGCAAATGCATGACGAGTTTGCAGGCCAGCACCATACGCAAAAAAAAATGTTTCCTTTGTTGGTTTTGGGCTTAACCAAGTTGTACCGCGTCGTCATGGCAATCAACACACTGCCGTCCTCCATGTCATATTCACCCCTCCACCCCTTCATCTTTGCAAGTCTTGATTGGGCTTGTATATATCCGCCGACCCCAGCCTAGCCGCAGCCTAGACGGGAGGCGCCTGAGACACGGCAGGGTGCAACCTTGGCATTGGCATCTCCACCTTTGTGGGCTTTAGCACAGGCCACAGCTAGCCTGTCCGAGGCCACGCAGCCTAGGCATGGCCGCAAACCTGCA